TATTTCTGGATATTACAGTGAGGCCACAGCAGGTTTTCAGCAGCAGGGCTGTTTAGTGTTTCATTCCTTCATCTGTGTGTGGGAGTGTGGATGGATCAGGTATCCAGGTGTTGATCAGAGTTTAGATTGATTGTATTTTAATGCTGATTATTAAATCAGGTGGAGCTTCCAGAAATGTTTCCTTAGTTTCCTGATGTCCTTTTAGGCTTCAGTGAGTTCTTCAGGTTGTTACTGAGGGATTTCCTTTCTCCTCTCTGTTGGAGCTTTTCCTGTGTTTGGAGAAATGAGTTGTGCTGCAGCAGCACCAACTGTCCTTCCTACATCCACTGCAGTTTGCAATCCAGATGTTGGACTGTTCCTGTCTCAGTGGAGGACAATATGTGTCTGAGAGACATGTAATGTCCATGTTTGCTGCTGAAAGAGACTGATGGTCTGACCCCCCTCCTCCTTTCAGGGTGGAGCCTGCTGGAGGCCGATTCTTGACTCCAGGTCTGAGGAAATGTAAGTGTGTTTTCATCTGATTCATGACAACAAAGCAGCTCACATTCAACCATCTTCAAACTGTCACATCACTCATTCAGGAGTCAAAGTGTCAATAAATGATCAATAACTGCAGCTGGATTGTGTTTGTTCTCCATCAGATTCCTGTCAACTCACCATCGACACAAACACAGTGAACAGAAATCTCAAACTGTCTGAAGACAACAGGAAGGTGACATATGTGGAGGAGCTTCTGTCATATCCTGATCATCCAGACAGATTTGATTATTATCTTCAGCTGCTGTGTAGAACTGGTGACTGGTCGCTGTTACTGGGAGGTTGAGAGGAGAGGAGATGTTTATATATCAGTGAGTTACAGAAGAATCAAGAGGAAAGGAAACAGTGGAGACTGTAGGTTTGGATGTAATGATAATTCCTGGAGTCTGAGCTGCTTTGATCGTCATGGTTACTCTGTCTGGCACAATAACATAGAAACTCGTCTCCTCCTCCTCTGTCTCTAACAGAGTAGCAGTGTATGTGGACTGTCCTGCTGGCATTCTGTCCTTCTACAGAGTCTCCTCTGACTCACTGATCCTCCTCCACACCTTCAACACCACATTCACTGAACCTCTGATTCCTGGATTTGGGTTCTGGAGGTTCTGGTCCAGTTCTGGTTCTTCAGTGTTTCTGAGCTGATTTGAGTCTAAAGAGTCTAAAGTTTTTCCTCCTGTCAGAGAAACTCTCTCACTGTTGAACAGATAGTTCAGTCTCTACAATCTATTTCTTGTTGAAACGATTCTGATTGAGTCCTTGGAACTTTTTCTTCTTCTAGTCCTTTAAAGATGGAAGCTGGGTTTATTCCAGGATTATTCCAGGATTATTTCAGGATTATTCCAGGATTATTCCAGGATCCACATGTTTTCAGTTTTTTTCTTGTCATAGCTTCACTCTATCAAGAGATGCTGGTATACTGGTGGTGAAGCAGCAGGCAGAAAACCCAGGATATAGTTAAATGATGGTTTTAATAGTAAAAATAGTCCAAGTGGAAACACAAAAACAGGCAGCATGGCTGAGATGAAGCCAGGGCTCAACGCCGGTAGCAACTGTTCATCCTGGTGGACAGAAGAACAGGCTTGACAAAATGACATGAAGAACGATGAGGACTCGATGAGGAACAAAGGACAACCGTGGGATTAAATACACAGATGGTAATCACAGAAACGAGAAACACCTGGGAACAATCAAGGGGAAACAGGACAACGCAGAGACTGGAAGCATCACAGAAAAATAAGGACCGCTCATTTTGAAGGCTGCCTACGTTCAATAACATGAAAAAACTGCATGTTTTATATGAATTCAATTAGTTCTTAATACTCTTTACACAAAGTGAAAGTACAAATGTAATGTGTTTAAAATTTCACAATAAAATAATCTCATTAATCCTACATGATTAATTTTCCATTTTATTCAACAATTAATCATTTCACCTCCAAAAACCTAATTTTTAGTTTATTCCTTGTCAATTTTTTTTTATTATTCCCCAATAATTAAATCAAATTTACTGACAAAGGTCCATAAGTTAAAACCTGAATCTCTAACAGGGAACATTTAATGTCCATATCTGGTTTAAAAGGCTCAAAATTAGCAGCCATGTTTAAAAATGTTGGCCATCCTGAAACCCAAGTGGCTGATGGGAAACCTGAGGGGTTAGCATGCTAATCTTTATCCCTGTATCTACACTTTAATTACTTTTTCAGTGAAATGCTGAATTTAAATACTTCATCATGTATATTTACATAAGTCTACTCTGAGTCTAGTCAAAGTTTTTATAATGAATCAGTGATTTATGATGTGTTCAGAGCCAATCCAAGCTAAAATTATCTAATTGTTCATAACATAAATATCATGTTTTATTATAATTGAGCAAACCAAGAGATTATTCATGTGTTTTATTTACTGTCACAAAGCTTGACCTCATGACCTCGTGTGTTTTCTCCTGTAGAGGAAGTGCTGCTGCTTCTGTTTTAGCTCAAACCTGAAACAATCGACCTCCTGATGAACACAAAGTTCTGCAGAGTGTGTGTGAACACACCACTGGGTGTGTGTGTGTTGACCGCTGCCTTCTTGTCTTGATCACATGCAAATCAGCTGTTATGAAATGTATTTCCTGCTCCATTTCAGAAACACTTTCCCACTCAGAAGTAATAAAATACACACATTTTGAAGCGATGTTCATTTATATTTGTCAAACTGGCAGATTAAGCAAAGATCAGAGTGTTTGGTTATTGATCTCTGTTAAAAAGGGAGAGGTTTTGGGTTTTCATAACTTTAGAGCAAAGATAAACTCTGAAGGACTTTCCAGGATGTGATTACATGATCCTTACAAAAACATTTTATTCTTAGACCAAAAATAAACAATTCCTCTTCATTTCAGGTGAATAACTGCAAGGTGAAAGTCCTGATACACAAAGAGTGAGTCAAGATTCCAAGATTTTACTAATAAAACAGTTTTTTATCAAGCCAGATAATTTAGAGGATTTTCTTTCCAGGCTGAGAGAAGAAAAATGGATGAACATTCAGGTTGGAAACATCATCAAACTGGAGAGCAACCAGTTTGTTCCAGAACTTTCTGATCTCAGATCGGAAACAAACTTTAACTGAGACGTTACTGAAGCTTGATGTTCAGTTGGTCCAAATCTAAAGCTGGATGACTTTAGGGTTTGTTTGTTTCTGCTCACCTGGAGCACCAGCCGGGTGGAGTCAGTCTGAGTTCCTCCATCATCTAAAGAGAACATTGAAGATCCTCCTGGAACAAATGGAGCTTTGGAAAGAAATCAGCAGGAAGTGAAAGAAAAAAGGATCTTCATCACTTGTGAAGTGGACGACATCAGAGTTGGATTCAGTGGAGTCACATGAAGAACAGAAAACTGAGGCTAGAATAATAGATATCATGCTAAATATCAGCTGCAGCTAATCTGTCAGAAGAAGCTTCAGGTTGAATCTAAAGGAGGCTGAAGATCTCAAAGTGGATGAGAGGAAACCTGATGAGCTCTACAGTCCACTAGATCCAGATCAGAACCCTGGAGAACATCTACGCTGGAAGCAGAACCACAAGCTAGAAAATATCCAGGTTTCTATCCAACCTGAACACAGGAAGTCCTTTCTTCTTCTGCTGCAGCTGAGAAGGTCCTGCTGCAGAACTGGAGCCACACAGTTCCTCCACAGCAGAACAGAGGAGGTTCTGGAGGAGACCAGGGTCCACATCTGGACTCAGAGTTCTCCTGAGCTTCAGCAGAGCTGCTGGCTTTAGTTCTGATCCGCCTCTGTTCTGGTGTCTGATCTCCAGAGAGGATCTGAACCGACCCATCAGAACTCAGTGGAGGTGGTGGAGGATGAGGATGGGGCGCGGCGAGGAGGTGGAGGAAGAGCGCCGTGATCCATCTGTCTGCTGTGGAGACCTGAGGGAATCTGACAGAGAAACAGCAGCCTTGAAATTACAACAACACTATTATTTAATAGTGTTGTTGTAACACTATTGCTGTTATTACATTATCAATGACGATAATGTTTCTCCAACATTGATTATTTCACCTAAATCAAGATATTTTTGCAATGTTATAAGGGAAATAATAACCAGACTAAAATCTCATTTTATATCAATAATTTTGGGCAAAATAAATATAATGAACTTATTTTGTGTAGGACAGATTATTTCCCTTATAACAAATCATTTCCCTTAAATTAAATAATCTGCCAACTACTTTTTTTTAATCAATATTAAGGAATTATCGACTTAAAACAAGCTTCTTCTTCTGATAAGTTGCTACTAAGTTACTTTTGTCTTATTTAAAATGTGCTGAGATATTTTTAAATTCTAATTCAAACATACTTTATTTATCCCAAAAAGAAAAGTTAAATGTAATTCACATTCGTCAAATTTGCACTAGAAACTAGACCAACAATACTTGGTGAGAGTTTATTTTTGCAGTGTAATTTGCATTTTCTTTTATACATTATTATAAAAATTTTCTCAAAATTTGAATCACAGCTGGATGGAAACATGGCTGCCATTTTGAAATGGATCAACTCGTAATTGTGTCAGATGATGAGATGTAAACATTTTGACAGACGTGACCAAACACAAAAAATATTTTTATCCATTATGTTTTAAAATGATGACTGTGGCATATTCAGTTTAATTATGAGTCAACAAACTGAACATCATCCAATCACATATAGAGTAGATAAATAACTCACTTTACGTCTGAACATGAGTTGTATCGATGCTTTTTTTCCATCTCCATCAAACTTTACTAATATGATACTTAAAATTGAAACAAGGCTTCTGGAAACTAAAAGAATCATTCATTTTTCTGTTTTTCCTGAAGGGAGCACAGATCCTTTCTGCTGCTAAAGAACTGGGATACCTTTCCAAACTGAAGGTATCAGGTTGCCTTTGAGTTTGCTTTCTCCTGTGAATTGGTCTAGTCAAAGTCTTGGTTTGGGTTGTTTAGGATCACATGGCAGGAGACGCTAAAAGCCTGACGCCCAGGCAGTGTGCCGTCATGGATGTGGCTCTGGATACCATCAAGGTGAGAGCGAAACGTTGACCTCTGGTCAAACAGAAAAGTACAATTCATTCACATTTTAAGAGTCTTTTAGTTGATTAACTAAAAGTCTGATTAACTCCACTTTAAGTTTAATCATTCAGGTTGTAGAACGCTGATTCCTCTCGTTTTGTTTCCTACGCAGCAATACTTTCATGCGGGCGGGAACGGCTTGAAGAAGACTTTCCTGGAGAAGAGCGCTGAGCTTTCGTCGCTCCGCCACGCTCTGTCGCTCTACACCCAGACCACCGACACGCTCATCAAAACCTTCGTGACCACGCAGCATTCACAGGGTAGATCCAAAACGCCTCAAAGGAGATTAAATACGGGAGAGTTTCAGATTCCTCGCTGCTTTTATCTCCTGGATTTGGTTGTTTAAGTTGCTGTCTTGTTTTTATCTCCTGCTGCCTCTGTGCCAGTGCACAATGGGAAGGGTATTAGGTTAACCCCTAATGAGAAAATCCAGCCCAGCAGGGGTAGGTCTCCATGAAATCATCATCAGCCCAACTTCCCTTCATCGTTTTCTCTCTTCTGTTTTGTGAAACCTGCGTTTCCGTCGCATGACTCTATAAAACGTGGTTTTCTTTGCCTGCATTGGACCAAATGTTGTTTGTGTTAAACCAGGCTCAGCTGTGGACAAACCCATCGGAGAGGTTTCCCTGCAGATTGAGCTGTACACTCATCCCAAGAGCGGAGAGCGGAAAGTTACTCTCAAAGGTCCGTTTGGGCTCATTTTGAACCAATAAAATCAAAGCTGCAGCATTTTAGTGTCATTTCTGTTTAAATGTTTGTGTCATTGATGCAGTGATTGCAGCCAGTGATTTGAAGTGGCAGACGTCTGGGATGTTCAGACCCTTCGTGGAAGTCACGATGATCGGGCCGCACCTCAGCGACAAGAAGCGCCGATTTCAGACCAAATCCAAGAACAACAGCTGGTCTCCCAAATACAACGAGACCTTTCACTTGTAAGTTCAAAACCAAACGTCGTGACACATTTAGGATTTGAAGCTCTTTTAATTCTGACTTCATAAACTGTTGGTTACACAAAACAAAGTCCTTGTGAAATTACTGGACAATGTCAGCTAATGCGCTAACAGCAAAGCTAATTGTTCATTTAGTGTTTCTGCTAAACATTTAGTGAAGTTCCTCAAATTTAACTTTTCCAAATAAAATCTGGATTTATTTTAAGAAATTAATTGTGTGGCAATATTTTTAAAAGCTATAAAAAAAGCTAAAATTAGCTCTACTATTACATTAGCAGCTTAATGGAAGTGTCCCTTCTACTGCAGATGTCAAACTTTATTCAACTGAAAGTCTGGAAAACAGCAAAAGTACATTAGTGCTTTAGAATTTAACTTGAAAAAAACTGATTTAGGGGAATCAAAATGTGTTGCACAACAAATTTGCTCTGCTATTAGCAGATTAGCAGATTAGCAATAGTGTAATCTACCACTGCAGGTGTGGACCTCAAATCAAAGTAAAATGTTTTGATTTAAAATGGAAAATTAGATCATCAAAAGCTAGGTGTACGAATGTTTTTAAAGTTTCAGAAAAAGCACAAAATCAGGAATTAGCTCTGCAATTAGCGCCCTAGCCCATGTGCTCCCACTCCTGTGTTCTGCTCTCGCTCTGCAGCGTTCTGGGTGTTCAGGACGGGTTCGAGTGCTACGAGGTTCAAGCCTGCGTCAAGGACTACTGCTTCGGCCGCGCCGACCGGGTGGTGGGCCTGGCCGTGGTGCAGCTGAGGGACATCATGGAGAGGGGCAACTGCGCCTGCTGGTGCCCCCTGGGGCAGCGCATCTCCATGGACGACACGGGCCTGACCGCCATGCGGATCCTCTCCCAGCGCTCCAACGACGACGTCGCCAAGGAGTTCGTCCGGCTCAAGTCCGAGACCCGATCAGCAGAGGAGGGAAGATGAGGCTCTGCTTGATGCAGTGGCACTGCTTTGACCTCTGACCTGTCTTGGCTGCTGTGTAAAACCTCACCAGCTTCCAGTGTTCTTCAACTTCACATTTTTTTAAGTCTCGTCCGCCTCTACTGAGGAGACAGAACCCATCCAGAACCTGTCAAAGGGCCGAATAAGAACCCACCCGCCCCGAGTGTTCTTGTGCAATAAATCCAACCCACCCCTCCCAAAGTGTGGCCAAGTGGTTCAAGCCTTACACTCTGCAAGCTGTGAATGTGTGTTCATGTAAAAGGAAAGAAATCCCTGTTTTTAATGAACACAAGTCAAATATTTCACTTCACTTAGCAAAGAAAAACTACAAATCACAATTTGTTTTCTAACAGTTTGAGCAGGAAAATGCCTTGTCATGCAGAAACGATGCTAATCCTCGTTTTACATGAAAAATGTTTGAATTTAACTCATCGCTTCATTTCATTCTCTATTGGTAGTAATTTTTATTTCTCTCTGTTGTCTGCATGTCATGACCATTTTATTTATATTTTTGTATATTTATTTCCCTTTTAAAGATTTGATCTGATTTCTGCTCCATTTTTTGACATTTTTGAGTTTTTTGGGGTTTTGTTACAAACTGAGTTGCACAGCAGGACTTGAGTTGGAATAATTACAAGTTTACATTTCTCTCCTTTTTTGTTTTTTATTCTGCTCTTCATACGAGTGGCCTTAATTATAAAAATTATGTTTATTTTTAATCTCTTTATCTTGTAATGGTTATAATTTGCATCGTGTTTCTCCAGACTGATGTCCTTAACATTTTGTATTTTTCATTTTAGTGATTTTATGTAAGCTGTAATCTGTTATGCTGAGTATCAATCCCATGTTTTTATTTACCATTTCTTTGTATTTTCTGTAGACAGCGATTTATTTTGAGCTCTTTTTGTTTCAGCAGCTTTTTAATGGATGAAATTAAACTACAGATCCAGCCTCTTACCTTCCCTCAGTAATTCAATGTTTCTGTTGATGGGAGCAAATATTTCCTTGTGCCAAGTTAAGTTTTCACTTTAGGTTTTTTAATTATTGCACATTTTGTAACTTTTGACCATAAATCACTGCATTTATCTGGAGTTTTCATTGGACTGTCACGTCTCTTTAAATCTGTCTCACTGTGTATGATTTCCACTCAATATTTTGTATAAAGTATTTAAGACTTGTATGGAAATGTCTTTTATTCTTATACTACTGACTAAAAAAGTAATTTTCACAGTGAAATCAGTGTATTTATACTGGGCAAATTTATAATAGATCTTATTGCACTTTGTGAGGAAAAAGGAGCAAATTCAACTGGAAGACTCTTCTAACCCCACCTGCATCATCCAACCGTTGCTTCCTGTTCATCACCATTGATTAATCAATGCTGGTCCAAGACGCGTCACGTCCAATCACTGTCCAAGTCCCAGCTGATAAATAGCACCGTCCATGGCGTCTTCTGCTGTCCAGCAGAGCTCAACCCTCCTCCACCCCTTCACCTCCACTCGCTCGGCTCTCCGGCTGCATCCTTTCTTCACCTCCATCACCAATGTCTCGTCTCGGGGGATGACGTTCCTTTCAGCATATGGAATGCTCATCCAAGCTCATCGCAAAGATTGTGATGATCGATGTCCTCAGCCGGGGCCCAAGCGCCAAAGACTTAAATTTTGTATGTCAATAAACTCTTCTAATGGTTTTGATTTTCTCCGTCTAAGTCTCTCCAGATTGAATTAATGTTCAGATGAAATCAACTCAGATTTTTCCATTGTGAACTAACCATAAAAGTTCATCTGAATATGTGTGAAGTGCACAATTCTAGTCCAAGTTCAGGGAGCAAAAACAATCTTTAATACATCTGCAGACAGAGGGAAAAATATACTCATTAGGCGAAAATCTAAATCTGCTCTAACGAACTCAGAGTTACATAGTTGCTTTATTCACCTCTCAGCTAACAGAGGAGAAGATTAAGTTCCCAGACGACCCGCCTGGGAAACTTCAGCAGACGCATCTTGTTCAGTTAGTTTGTACACCCTCTGCAGCTGCACCGAAAAACATCTTGACTATGATACAATTACATTTATGTGATACATAAAAGAACACTGATGCAAATAAAACATTTTCTCTTTAAAGAAAAATCTACTTCACATATGTTGGAATGTCATTGTTCCAGAAATGGTGAATTTCATATGTGCATCTTTTTTTCACCAGTTTTTCTTTCCACCCCACTTTTTATTAAAATGTAATACTGTCTTCTGGGAAACGCCATCTTGTTCAAGAATGAATTTTTGTGGCAGATATTCACCATGATTGATTACTCCATAATGTGGCAATAGTTACCTTTTTTATTGGTTTTGTGTAACCATGCAATTTATATCTTACAGAATAAAATTTGTCCAATTAGCTAACTGAAAAGTGAGTTTAAAACTTCTTTTAGTGTTGTAGTTCAGTCTCCATCCAGCAGAGCGTCCCACTGGTCATTCTGAGGAGCCATTGATACGAGTTTGCAGTGGTATCTCTGAAGAGGAATGAGGTCAAAACTATCAATATGGTCCAGTTTGGGGTCTCCATTTGTGGATTGTTGTCAAATTGAGAACATAAATTTACTGAATTGAACTGGAGCTTGATAAAACAAAGAGTGGAGTTTTCTAATTTGTATTTTTGTGCCATAAAATGATTGGAAATCAAACGTGCAAAGAGTTTGACTGGAAAGTAAAAACCAGATTTAATAGAACACACTGTGTCAAATAAAGTATTACTCCTTTCAAAACGTTCATTTCCAGGATTCCAACCACAGATGGATGTTGGAGGAATGTGTTGAATGGTCGGTCATCACACGTCTTCTGGTTCTGACCACAAATAAAGACTTTCTGGGAGGAAATGAAACAGGAGACTGAGGACATTCTGAGGACAGATCTCCCCATGGAGCCTCTTCTGTTTCTGCTGGACATAAAACACCAAGGATTTACTCACTAAACATCAATGTTACATATTGTTGCACCTTCTGCTGCTGGTAGCAAGAAAGACAATTAGACTAAACTGGATTAAACCCAGTTCACCAACTGTTGCTGAATGGAGGAAAAACTGAAACATGACAACATGATGGAGCGTCTGACTGAACAACTGGACATGAAAAAGATAATTAAATATGTAGTTTGGAAAATAAATACTGAATTTGAAAATTAAATGTTTAGTTTGTAAAATAAATATTTTTTTGAAGCCAAACATTTAGCTAAAGTTTGATTTCCAAAAATTAAGTTTCAATCCAAGTAAATATTTAGATTGTGAATTAAATATTTAGTTTATAATGAACGTTTGGATGACATGATGAAAATATTTGTTTGAAAAATGCATTTTCACAACTTTTTCTTTATGACATGATGAATGAAGTGAAATACTGTTAGTATTTTCTGTTACTATCAATCATCACTACAGTAATGATCAAAAGTAAGTACACCCTCATTTTATCAGAACTTCTCTTCTTCCTCATGAAGATTTTATCAACCTGCCTCTGATTTCACCTCAGAGCTTCTACTTCCTGGTTCTGTTGCTGGAGGAAAAAACTACAAGTCAGGTGAGCTGTGACGTCATCAGTTATACAACATCCGTCACATTTACTTTCAGTTTGAATTCACCTGTTCAGGTGCGACTCCAGTCCGTTTGTAGAGTCTCAGTTTGTTGTTTAAATTTTCTTCTTTAACTCTTTGGATATTTTGAACAAACTGTAAGTTTAATTTGTTTATTTATTGAACTTTTTCATCACTTTAACTTTTTCTTGATTGTTTCTATTCTCTGATGTTTGGAGAAAAGTTTAACTTTTGATTTCAGCTGAACTTTAATATTTGCTGTTTGAAGGCTAATCTACAGGATTATTGATTATTGATGAACTGGAATCAATCAACATGATGAACAGCTGATGTTTCACTGTTTTTCTCCGAACTGATTCATGTTTTTTATTTCCTGGTACTGAACTCTAGTCTCCACCATTAATGTCAGCAACAGTTTCCTCTTTCAAAATAAAATATTATTAAAATATTATTATTGATTCAGTCAAATTATTAAATAGTTAACATTTAATGCAGCAGATAATCCACTTTTAGAGATTAATAATTAACTAACTAAAATACTTCCTGT